GAGAAAAAACCTTGGGAGAAACCAGGCTCAGTCGGGGGGCCAGTTCTCCTCTGACCAGACGAAACCAGCAGTTCAATTCCAGGCTGCAGCAATGTAACATTGTGCAGAGGACTCATCCTCATGATATTCTAGGTATTATCAAATTCCCAGAGTTTTGAGAACGCAGCGGACGTGGAGGATTATAATGCAATAAGAGCTTGTTCAAATACTGAGGTGCTAAACCATTCAGGGCTTTATAGGTAATAAGCAAGATTTTAAAATCTATACGATGTTTAATAGGGAGCCAGTGCAGTGTTGACTGAACCGGGCTAATATAGTCATACTTCCTGGTTCTAGTAAGAACTCTAGCTGCTGCATTTTGGACCAGCTGGAGTTTGTCTATTAAGCGTGCAGAACAACCACCCAATAAAGCATTACAATAATCCGTAATTTAGTGAGATGGAAATATGCAGATTTACAAATGCTAGAAACGTTGCTTTCAAAGGAAAGATTGCAAAGATTGCTCACACCTAGGTTCCTAACTGATGACGAAGAATTGACAGAGCAGCCATCAAGTCTTAGACAGTGTTCTAGGTTATTACATGCAGAGGTTTTAGGTCTGATAATTAACACCTCTGTTTTTTTCAGAATTTAGCAGTAAGAAATTACTAGTCATCCAGTTTTTAATATCGACTATGCATTCCGCTAGTTTTTCAAATTGGTATGTTCCGCCGGGCTTCGAAGAAATATAGAGCTGAGTATCATCAGCATAACAGTGAAAGCTAACACCGTGTTTCCTGATGATATCTCCCAAGGGTAACATGTAAAGCGTGAAGAGTAATGGCCCTAGTACTGAGCCTTGAGGTACTCCATACCTCACTTGTGATCGATATGATACCTCTTCATTCACTGCTACGAACTGATGGCGGTCAGATAAGTACGATTTGAACCATACTGATGCACTTCCATTAATGCCAACAAAGTTTTCTAGTCTATGCAAAAGAATGTTGTGGTCAATAGTGTCAAACGCAGCGCTAAGATCCAATAGCACTAATAGAGAGATACAACCACAATCAGATGATAAGAGCAGGTCATTTGTAACTCTAATGAGAGCAGTCTCGGTACTATGATACGGTCTAAATCCTGACTGGAAATCCTCACAGATACCATTTTTCTCTAAGAAGGAATATAATTGTGAGGATACTACCTTTTCTAGTATCTTGGACAGAAAAGGGAGATTCGAGATCGGTCTGTAATTAACTAGTTCTTTGGGGTCAAGTTGTGGTTTTTTGATGAGAGGCTTAATAACAGCCAGTTTGAAGGTTTTTGGGACATATCCTAATGACAATGATGAATTAATAATAGTCAGAAGAGGATCTATGACTTCTGGAAGCACCTCTTTTAGGAGCTTAGATGGAATAGGGTCTAACATACATGTTGTTGGTTTAGATGATTTAACAAGTTTATACAATTCTTCCTCTCCTATAGTAGAGAATGAGTGGAATTGTTCCTCAGGCGATCTATAGCAAGCTATCTGATGCAAAAAAATCATTATGAAAATATAATTATATTTTCCTTAAAATGTTCTTCCTAACTTCAGGCCTTATTCTCATGTCATATACAGTATAACTGTGATGTTCTGCAAAACAACAAGCTTTAAAACACTTTTTTCTTACTGGTGAAAATCAGATGGTCAAATCTGTTTTCTCTCAGGTACATCACAGTGTACAAGCTTCATAGTGAACATTACTACATCACTCTCGTCAACGTAGTCCATATCAACAACAAAAATATATCTTGACTCCATAATAGTGGTTATTTTGGGAAAATCCCAGGTATTTTGAGCAGTAGGATTATAAAAAATATGTGCTAATATCAAATTAAATTAAGTAGCCTATATAAAATTGCGAAATAAATCTATCTATCAGTACTTTTTTTCTACTTTCACTCGAGTAAAATTGAAAAAGGAGTACTTTTACTTTTACTGGAGTAATATTTTATTATATGTATCTGTACTTTTACTCAAGTACTTGATTTGTGTACTTTCGTCCGCCACTGAGGTGTGCTCATTAGATTGCTCCATTAGCTTAGTAACATCAAAGCATATTGGAAGTATTTGTGGTTGTTTATGGAGAACGTTTCAAATCAGGCTTCATTTTAGTTAGCATGCCACTATAAAAGGTAGCTGCCTTCATAGACAGCAGACGCCGAGGCAGCTCACTAAAGCAGCTCACTAACAGTCTAGTCTTTACGGCAATGACAGGGTTCAAATGAACCGGCCTGCGGTGGGACAAAGCAGCTGCGCACATCGATTGGCCAGTGCTTGCGCCCCGCATAAGGGTGCAATCATGCGCTAAGGGCCATAACCCTCGCTGCATTTCCATATTGATTAGTCCTTGATAAGACGGCGTAGTGTGAGTCATTTCAGGAGACTGTTTCACCCCAGGCGGCCTCCATTCACACCTGTCTGAATATACATGTCCACTACAAGCCATCCATTCACACTTTAGGAGAATTATAAACAAGCTATCAGACGTAAGTCAGCAGTGAAATTGCATATCAGCACAAAGCGTTCGGTGGGCTGCTGTTCTGATATTGACTTTTTGTACCCCTTCAGCTTTCATAGCTGGAATTGCTGTTCTGCTTCATAATAGAGCGAGCCGGCGCGCTGTAAGCAGGTCAGGCAGTTATTACTGCAGCAGACGCAGGGTCTCACGATGGACTTCACATTAGGAGCCCCAAATCACAGAGCCATTTCAGAGCAAAGCAGTGAATGAGGAATAAAACTGAAAAAGGGACGGTTCAGCCAAAAATAAAAATTCTGTCTTTAATAATTTTTGTCCTCATGCGGTTCCAAATCCACATGCATTTTCCCCAAAAAAATTCGCAAAAATCTTCATGCAGTTGATTTTCATGCAAAAATGTCTTGATGCATAACATTAAACATTAGAGACGCTCGCTCTAAATGCTAGTGTCTTGTTTGGATTCCTTATCATGTGACGTGGCCTTTCGCGACCCATCCGAGGTGTCTGTGATGCCTTGAGTAATATCTTGATCTTGAGTTAGTGTTTTGTTGAAAAGTTCACTAATGCCCTCTTGCTGTGCATGCATGATGATCTGCTCTTTTCTGACCGGCCCCGTTCTCAGAGCCTGTTTTGCACAATCCTCGGCCTCATTCATATGCAAACATTTAGGATTCAGTACAAAGCTTCACTCAGGCGCTTACCGTGATGCGCTTTGCAATGTAACATGAATTAGTGTGACAAGCAATGCGTATCCTGTCCAATTACACCATTGTGCTGCACTCAATAACCGATAAATTAATCATTTAAGACAAGCACATTATATGCAAAACGACTCGGGGCAACATATGGCTGCCTGTTTACGTAACGTGTAACCTGTGAGCTTCACACTGTTTCTGCTTCAAATGCGTGGCATGAAGGCAGCAGAGCAAACTAATCCACTGCACTCCTGCATTTGACACTGTGTGTGTGTGTGTGTGTGTGATTTCAAGCCCTTTAAAATCAACCCTCTCTTCCTGTCCAGTCATGTGTGATATCGCTTTTTCCCTCCATCTTTCCCGCAGCTTCCAGTGCAGTGCCGCAAAATTCATCAGGCCGAGCGTATATAACAAAAATTCATGCCGTAAATGTGTGATTGTGACAGCGCTTGACATAAATCGGCGCTGGCAGCTTTTGAATGTGAAAGATATTTATGTGATGGGAGGCGGGCGCAGTGATGAGTCAGTGTCCGCGCACAAACACCTCTGTAATTGCTCATAAATTACAGCGTTCGGTGCTGATAGGTGGCCGTGACTTTGATGGGTTTCATCTTTCTATCAGTGTGAAATATTGGAGCGTGGTGAGCTTGCAGCGAGTGTCATGTGAGAGGGAAATGGCTTTGTTGCTCTTTGCTGATGGCTGTGCAGGGGCTTTGCTTACGTTTCAGAGGTGGTTTCTCTCTAATGATTGCATTAAGCCAGTGATTATTTGACCATTATATATTATTTAATAGTGAATTGAACAAACCCCTAACCATAATTATGAAGTCCGACACATAACTTGTGCTGACTGATGATTGAGTGATACATGAATGATACTTCACATCATGTGCTAGTACATTTCTAAACAACCGATGTGCGACCTGCTGGATGAAAATATTCAAGAAGGGAGCATGTCTAGAGATCTGGGGAACTGTTGACTTTCAGATGGCATCCGTTGGCATTGAGCGTATGTTTCAGACTCCAGATATCCATCCTTTTTCCGAACTAAGCACCCCATATTAAAGAATCAGAGTGTTAATAATGGTTGCGTCTTCTCTCTCCGCAGTGGACGGCTGTATTGACTGGTCGGTGGACCTGAAGACATACCGTGTGTTGGCCGGAGAGCCGCTGAGGGTGAAGTGCGCTCTCTTCTACAGCTACATACGCACCAACTACAGCGTGGCCCAGAATGCCAAGCTGCGGCTCATCTGGTACAGGAACAAGGGCGACTCCGAAGAGCCCATCATCTTCTCGGGTCACCGGCTGAGTAAGGAGGGAGACTCCATTTGGTTCCGCTCCGCAGAGATGGAGGACAATGGATTTTACACTTGTGTGCTCAGGTGGGTCATTAGCAATTCAAACTCAAATCAAGTGTGCAGTGAGAAAAACACAGCCCAAAGACATCTGCAATCTAACACTGCTGATGTGACCCACTGTTACCTTGTTTACTTAGTAGGGCATGATGTGGCAAGATGAGCCCAGCATGCGATTCCGTCAGTCGCAGCAGTTTTGAGTTTAATTGATCTGATTGTTTGTCTCTGGAAAATAGTGATCCATGACACTGGATTATGTTCATTATCAACGTTATTTTGTGTATATTTATTAATGAGGCATTTGTGGATTAATGTTAATGCTTTTAGATTTGAGGATTTTGGTTTTATTTTGAAGTGAAAAGATAAAATTAGACCCTTGGGATAAGATGGGCCACTAGTGTTATTTTTTTTTTATTGAAAACTTATTCTAATTAATGGGGTTATTATTCAATATTTCCATGAGTTAGATGTACATTTAAGAGATATTCGCTTTCATTACAACCCGTAGGCTAATAGAGCAAAATCATTTATTACATTTTTCAAATTTAAATTCATATTGTTTCTATCATGACATACCTTCAATTAAAATATGGGCGATTAAATATGTAAATATTCAGATGCCTGTAAGTCATCGAATAAATTTAGCTTTCTCTTTTACTGGGATTCTGCTGTGTCTGTCTGTCGTCAATTATTCAGTTATTCAACTCATTTGTCAAAACACAATTTTAAGTAGAATAGTTGATTTAAGGGGTATTTTAGTAGTGGTTTCTATTTCTTTCTGTTTCTTTCAAGATCTTTTTGTGACACACAATTAGCAGCAGAGACAGTGCACTGTACTGTAAATTTAGAGCAACTGGACAAAGACCATGGAGATACAGTGTGTTTGATGCGTTATTTTATTTCCTTACAGAGCTATAGCCTTTTGTGTAAGCCAGGCCACAGCCACAACTATTAATAGTCCTGTAGAAATCCAAAGAAGAAGAAGAAGAAAAATAATAATTATTGACCTATGGCCTACAGCTCACTCCCCGCATTAATTTTTGTTTAAATTTCTCAAAATCCAAAGACAAGTTTGCAAAACTGAGTTTCCCAAATAAGATGACGTGATATGACAATATGTGTGTGTGTGTGTGTGTGTTTATCAGGCAATATGCATGTCATGATAGCAGGTCACAGGCAGTTTTTTCTCTACGTTCTACACACACCGTTGAGTCAAATGAGTCCTCCAGGTTCAGTCCTGTGTTTGCATTACAGAGTCCTGTTGAAGAAGAAAAAAGCAATTTACACTGGCTTTACCAGGATCGCTGACTAGAGGAGAGCTCAATGTATTGAAGAGTGCAGTTGCATTATTTTTCAGCTGTCAAAGAAAATCATGTTCAATCATGCATTTACTCAGGGAACTGTGTCTATATACAGTAGCTTAAACTGTTCTGAGTGTATTGTGAGAGTGACAGCGTATTCAGCATAAGCTTGAGTTTTCACTGCATGAACCGCTGTCATTAACGTCTCCTCACCGCTGCACTCAGGCACCGAATGCAGCCGCGTCGTGGGTGAAGCTGCTCTGATGTCTTCATGCGCTTCTGTGAAGTTAATACAATTTGGTTTTAATTTAAATCTAGCTCTGGGGTTTCATCTGACTCCAGTTTCAGATGATTATGCCATTTAAACTGAGATTTTGCTTCTGTTTTTAATGTATACGTTATTTGATTATACGAGGTATTCCTATACTTTTCAATTATTTGTTGATTAGGGAGCCGATGTCATGCTGGCCCGGTCGTGGATCTGATGGACACAAAATCGTTTGCAGGGTTTACTAATACCATTACGTTTGTCTGCTCCCTGTTTGCTCATAACAACACTTTCTTCAGGCTGGAATAAATTAAACCACGTCTGATATCTGAACCGATCTGAAAACACTAGGCGTCACACACCTGCCGACTCTGTAAATGGCTACTGTCACGAAACCGGTCAGTTCTCACCATGGACTACATTTCCCACAAGCCCCGTACCTGGAAATAATTACACGCACACCTGTTCTCCATCAGGAGCACTATAAAGGTTGCTCTCTCACACACACTCACTGCGAAGTATTGTTTGCTACTGCTACATACCTAGCGTTTCTTGCTGCCTGCCCCGACCCACTGCCTGTGTTTGGATTACTCTTTTGTCTTGCCCTCCTGTTACTGTTCGCTGGTGATTGACCCTTGCCTGTGTTTGAATGCGCTGATACAATAAAGCTACATTTGGATCCGACCCTGCCTTCACGCCTCCCTGGCAGTGTTGCCAATCTAGCAATTTTGTAGCTAGATTTAGCACCTTCCCCACCCCTTTTGAGACTTTTTTTCAAAGGTTTAGGAACAAATATAGCAACTTCTTGGACAAACCTTATCTAAGTTCTCATCTTGCCCACTGATTTATATTTATCTTTATATAGATCAGTGAATTTGCCATTATGATGTCATCTAGTGACATTTAGCTACCAGTTTTAGCTACTTTCAATTGAAAGCAGTTGGCAACACTGCTCCCTGGTTACAGCTACAGAGAAAAAACTGGTCATCAGTGTAGGGGAAGCGACTTAAAACCAGCTTTACAAACTACAAGCTACACATCATTTAGAGAAGTTCAACTATAGTTAAGCGAACATTGTGAAAGAGTATCTGCAACATTACAAGCCACTAACAAAAAAGTGCTGTAGCTCATTACTTTGACGCTACAAAGGGCGTTATGTATTCATTTGTTTGTTTGTCCATCAGATTACAAGATATTTTGTATATTTAAAGTAACGTATATGTATTTATTTGTTCTGAAATTGGTATGTAAAGATGTTTGAATCCCTTCTCTCTGATCCCTATCATATGCTGAGAAATGCTGTGAAACAACACTAATCACATAATCAGAACAACTGATAAATAAAACTCCTCAGTTATTGTAATTAATTAATTTATTTATTCGACAACAAAAGTTTTGTGCCGATTTTAATTATTTTTCAATAGCATCTGTCACCATGAACTTTAATAATCATATCCATGTTGTTTGCGCTATACTTTAAATTGCTTAAAGGGGTCATATGATGTGATTTCAAGTTTTCCTTTCTCTTTGGACTGTTACAAGCTGATTGTGCATAGATACGATCCCTGAAGTTGCAAAGACTAAAGTCTCAAAACCAAAGAGATATTCTTTATCAAAGTTAAGACTCTGCCACGCCCCCCTAAAACGGCTCGTTCTAACACGCCCCCACATATCTACATCACTATGCGGAAATATTTGCATAATGCTGCCCAAATGTTCACGCAAAGAAAGAAGGCGTAACTTTTATTCTCGCTGTAGTATTGTTGTTGCCGCCGCCATGTCGTGAAGGTGCTGTGTGCTTCGTTGTGAAAGCGAA